CCCTACTCTTCTCCCCAGTGGAGAAGAACCCTGCTGCTTGGAAGGTCAGGGAAGATTTCTGAGAGGAGAGGATATGTCAGCTGGGCTTTGAAGTATGTGTAGAAGTTTGCTATGCAGGGGAGCATGCTTTTTAGGGCAAGGGGAGCCTGGAACTCTCATCACCTACCCTTGTCAGGTGACAGACATGGCCTGAATGACTATGATGATTTAAAAAGTCATCCTTGGGGCACCTGCATGGCTCAGTGGGTTAAACCTCTGCCTTCGGCTCAGGTCATGATCTCAGGGTCCTGGGATCAAGCCCCGCATGGGGTTCTCTGCTGGGCGGGGAGCCTGCTCCCCCCCACCCCCCACCACCTGCCTCTCTGCCTATTTGTGATCTCTTTCAAATAAATAAATAAAATCTTTTAAAAAAAAGTCATCATTGAGCAAAGCCTCATTGCTAGCTTTTTTTCTGTCTTACATCAACATTCTCTTAATCTGTCATTATTACTATTATTATGAATTGTATTTAGTTTTTTGATATGAACACCTGATATATTCAAATGGTTCAAGGGCTAAGAGATGCAAGGAGGTGTACAGGGCAAAGGTCACTTTCCTCCTTTTCCTGTTGGCAAACTTCCAGGTCTCAAATATCACAGTACGGTTGAACTTCTGGTTCCTTCCAGAGACACCTTACGCATTGGTAAGCGTTCGCGAGTTTTGAAAACAACTGATCAGTGTTCTCTGCATGCTGTACTTCCGGGTCTCCCTGCCTGGGTCACACCTTGCTTTTTCACAAACAATGTCCCTTAGAGATTGTTTAATATCGGTGCCAAGAGAGTCTCCTGTTCTTTGAGGCAACCGCCGCACATTGCATTGTGCGAAAGGAACCCGCCTTTCCTGCGGACCAAGTTCCATGGTTACGAGCCGAGCCGTGTTTTCTCCAGTGAGTAATGTTGAGCCTACAACACTTTCTAGTTCTGACACTTACTAGTGGTAAACTTTGGCCACCTGCCGAATAGCCACCCTGAGCCTCAGTTTCCCCAGGTAAAGTGAGGTTACCAATGGCGCTCACTACGCGGGGTTGCTCTTGCCCTGAAAGGAGGTAACCCTGGATCAAAGGGGACTCACGTACATGAATAATCTCGCCAGATATTTCTGTATTTCCCTCCATGAATGTATTGATTTACATTCTTGCTGACCCTGCAGGAAATTGCTGATTTCCCCACTGCTTCGCCATGACAACCTGCTGGCAAAGCTTTGCATTTTCTGCCTCGGTGTCATTTTGATGTGCATCTGTTGGATTCCCAGCGAGCCTGCGCGTCGGGGGAAGGGATTTGTGAAGTCTGGGGTGCAGATGGCAACTGGTGTGGAGGATCCCCATCTCTGAAGGGCTGGTTTCCAGAGTCCAAAGGAAGGGGGCTAAAGGGGAGCTCGGTGAGGATTTCCTGTAAACCACGCTCCTTTCCTGGCTCTGCTGGCATGCCTGGAGTCGGGGGAGGCGCGCAGAAACAGAACAAACTTGGCCCCTGTCTGTTTTGATTGCAACACCCTTTCTTTGGAAGAAGGAGGGAGAGGGCAAATGCCTGCTTACTGTCCAGAATCGAGAATAGACTTCTGAAACAGGGAGGGGAATCTGCTAGGATCTCCCAGACCCCCATCACTCCCTCTATGCCCTTGCTCCACCCCAACCCTACCCTATTTCCTCGATTAATCACAGCCTTAAATATTGGAGCTCTTTGACCATCTTGGGCAGGTGTTGCTGCTGGCCTCTGCCTCCCTTCCAGGCCTGGTTCCTTCTTTCTCTGAGTCTCCGTTAATCCTGCCCGAAGGACAGATCGATGATAGCTCCTGCTGTTTTGACAACGAGAGGTGCTAAGATGCGTCAGAGCCCTGGGCTTATACACTTTATGCCCATGGTGGAAGTCTGGGAAGGGTCCTGTCCCCGATCTCTAGGAAGTGACCAGAGGGATGAAGGCAAATGCAGAACAGGGTCTGTTAGGAAGGAAAGAATTCTCTGAGGTTTCTTCCTGGGGTGGGTATTTCTGCCCAGAAGTGCAGGAGGATGACAGGCAAGATAAGGCAGCAGGGGAGACAGAGGAGGAGACTGGGGGATGGGACTTCTGGTTAGCTGGTGCACCCTGCCCAGCATTCCAGATATGGAGGGAGGGAGAACCAGGCTGCCTGAGCTGGGTGCGGTCGGTTTCTGGGACCAACAGAGCATTTGCCGTTTATCCGCAGTTCAGACGGAGCTGGGTGTCCTGTATAATGTCAGGCCACCCTAGCTGGAAGGGCAAGGAGAGAAGAAAGGGAAGGAAGTGGGGATGATTTCTGGGTGGGAGGAGGTGCTCCCCCATCCACGCCTGCTTGAGTGCGGTTACTTCCCTGCCTTCCCCCGCCCCTCACCTCTGACCCTTCAGAGGCAGTGTCGGACCCAGGAATGGCAGGGACCACTGCTCCCTCCTGGCCCCCCACTTCCAGAATGGGGTCTTTGCTACACTGCTTTCTGAGAATTTCCCTCCCCCCAGCGTGCAACCTGAGCCTCCCCTTCTCACTACTTATTACTCATTAACTTGAAAGTAAACTTGGCCTGGTTCAGTCTCCTCTGCCCCTTGGCTCCTTCTCCCCGCCCCCACCCCCGCACCCCCTCCCTCCCAGTCAGCAGAGGCCTGGGCACCCGGGGCCCCCCCTGCCCCCCCCCCCCCCTGCCTTGGAGGATACAGGGGCAGAGGTTTTTGACCTCCCAGCCCCAGTTCCTAATCTATAAACTGGATCATCACAACCGTGGAACTTCTCTCTGAGTCTTGGGGAGACAAGCTGGTGGCATCAGCAGACAGAATGCTCAGCCTGGTGTCCCGCGCACCTGGACTGTGTGTTTATTTTTCCAACACCTGCTCCTCCCCCTTCGTGCCTTACTTCCGGGACAGCCCCGCCAGGCCTCCAAGCCAAGGTCCCCCCGGTCCCCTGCATTCCCTGTCCCAGTCTGTCCCTTCTCTTACCCCTGTGGTCCGCGGCCTCCCGGCTGCAGGCTCATTGCTTCCAGACCACGTGCTCTACAGCAACTGGGGACTTTTTCTAAAAACCCAGATTCACAATCTTACTGCATCGTGATGTCGAAAACAGGAATACACAGGAACGAGGCGAAAGACTCCGAGAGACCCAGACGCAGCGCCTTATCCCACCAGCCTTGTTTATTCTGCCTGTTTTGCAGACCAAGAAACGGAGGGCTTTGACCACTTGCACAGTATCTCCCAGCTGGCAAGAGCTGGGGTCCAGAGTTCATGTTCCTAAACTGTATGAGCTTCTGACCGCTGCTGTAACAAATGACCACAAATTTGGTGGCTTAAAATAACCCCTTTATTATCTTACAGGTCTGGGGGTGGGGCAGATGTCTGTAGTCAAGGTATAGGCAGGCCTGTGTTCCTTCATTTCCTTCGGGAGGCTCCAGGGGAGGAATCGTCTTCCAGCCTTTTCCGCTTCTAGAGGCCACTCCACGCGAGGCTTGTGGCCCCTCCGTCCCTCCAGCCCCACAGCACACTCCCCCGGGGCGAGTTTTCTTGTCCCTCTCCTTCTCGGGTGGGCCTCTTGCAAGGATCCTTCTGCTGACACTGGCCATCCAGGATCACCTCCCATCTCAGGGTCTTTCACTGAATCACAGCTGCAAAGTGCCTTTTGTCACAAACTAGGACATTGGCAGGTTCCACGGACTGGACGCGGACATCTTTGGGGAGCCACGACCCTGCCCAGCCCTGCACGAGCAGGGAGTAAAACCTCGATCCTGTATGGCCATGTCCTTCCCTGCTTTGAACTTTTCCTCAGCTCCTGCAGGCACCAGTAGGAAGTCCAACCGCGTCTGCGTCTTGAGGCTTCTGCCAGCTTCTCACCCCTCCCCCGCCCCTTCCCAGCTCCAGCCAGCCCTGCCATGGGACTGGCATGCTATTCTGGGCTCCTCTGCCTCCACGTAACTTCCTCAGTCTGCAATGCCTCCCCACTTCCCTGTCTGGCAGGGCTATTTATTCACCTGTGCCCGTTAAGCTTGCTTCCGTTTGCAGGAAGCCTTGACCCCAGCCCAATTCTCTACCCGTTGTCCCCTGCCTGTGCCCCCCTCCCCAAAGAAGTACCTCCCAGAGTTCCAAAAGGGGCTCTGGGCACTCTAGCTGAAGGGTGTGCTGGAACGGGATGGGGAGAGCCCCATCTCCGGAGCTGCCCGTGTGTGTGTGTGTGTGTGTGTGTGTGTGTGTGTGTGTGTGTGTGTTCAGCTCCATCCCCAATCAGAGGTCATTCCTCAAAGTCCGCTGCAGTTCACAAAAGGCTAGGCTGTGCTGAGTCACTCCCAGCATTATCCTGGGCCATATTTGGTGACCTCGTGGGACCCCCCTTTCACAGGCTGGGAAACAAGTGAAACCACTTATCTAGGATCACACAACAAAGGGTGCAAGTTCAAAAGGTTTGACCGTAGGGAGCCCGGGTGCAAGGGGGCAGTGCCGTTGGTGGGAAAGCACAGCTACGACGTCAGACTGTTGCTGTTTTGAGTCCCGAGTCTCCCAACTTATCTGCTGTGTGGCCCTGTGCAAGTGACTTAACCTCTCTGTGTCTCACAGGCTTTTTGATAGGAATGAGGGTCCACAGAAGCCTTGGAAGAGGGTGTGGCATAAAGCAGTCATTCCGTGTCCAGTCTTTGCTGTGAGCTCTTGTGGGTCTGCCCACCAGGTTTTCTTGCCCTCCAGCCTCTGCGGGTGCTGTCCCCTCGCCTGGACCTGCTGCCCTTACCCCTACTGCTCCAGTCACCTGTCCCTGACTTCCCAGGCTAGGTCAAGGCCCTGTGATGAAACCGTCCAGTGACTCAGCCCTCTCCCTGACCGGCCCCCCACCCCAGACTGTAAGCCCCTTGAGCGGGTCATGTCCACTGCTCTGTCCCCAGCACCAGGGGGCTGCAACCCTCCCTCCGCAAGAAACACAGGTTTCTAAATTGTCCGCACAGCCTGTTAGACCTCAACACCCAGAAAGGCAAGGAACCAGGGTAGCAAAACAGATCGGTCATTATTGCACAGTTGTGAGCGGTGGGTGGCTCTGGGGCAGGGACAGGGCTACCCCGGGGTGGGGGGAGAGGAGACAAGGGAGCTCTCTTCTGAATGGGCTCCTGGGCCTCCAGTCCCAGAGAGCAGGGGGCTGTACCACCGCACCGCCCTTCTCCCCCCCCACACGTGCTTTGGGAGCAGAGCTGGAGGGTGAGGAATGTGTGCGGAGGGTGGAGGCGGGAGGTGGGGGAAGGAGGACAGTTCCAGACACTGGGGGATGATCACAGAAGCTCCCGGCCTCGGGCTGTCTTGTTGACTTTGGATAGGCCTTCCTGGAACCCAGAATCCGTCATTCTAAAGGCAAACAGCGGGGGCGGGGGCTGGGAGTTGAGGGGCACTAGGCGCCACTCACCCAGGGCTCATCAAGTCCCCACCCAGAGCAGCTGGCCACCTCCCCCCACATCCCCCCGCCCACTGCAGCCCCAGAGCCCCTCCCACTCTGCCTCCAGAGGTGCCCCCGACTCCGCCCATGGCTCACATCTGCTCCATCTGCGTGTCCTCCTCGTCCTCCTGGGGCAGCTGCAGGTACGGGTTGTCGCCTGCCGGCTGGAACTTGTAGCCGGTGAGCACGAAGAAGGCCAGGGTGGACCCCTCCACCAAGAGCTGGGGGGCAAGGGGCATGGCGGTGTTGGGCATAGCCCCCCACCCCCAGCCACTGTCTGGCCCACCTGCCCACCCCACCTGTGGTCTTGGTCTTCACCTGGTACAGCCACTGCCACTGGAACGGCACAGCCACCTGCAGCAGGATGGCGATGACCCGCGTGAAGTACACGTAGCAGATGACCTGCGGGACAGAGGGTCGGGCAGAGGCCGGATGTGGGCTCGGAGTGGCAGGCAGAGGGGCTAGAGTGGGCACCCCAGCGGCTGGTTGTATATACACCCCCCGCAAAAAAACAAAGACAAAACACCCCCAAATACTTGCTTCAGTGAGAAGAGGGCTCGTACCATGATGTAGTAATGGCGAAACAGCTTCAGCTTGGCCAGGTTCACTGCCACTGCTGGGCGTACACGGATGGGGGAGGGGAGGGGAGAGGAATGGAGGAGGGCCGTTTCGGGGAGTATCCAAGGGGCAGGAAGTCTGGAGGGGGCCTTTCAGAGGACACGCAGCAGGGGCAGCCAGTGGGGAGGGAAGGGACATCCAGGGATCAGAAAGAGGGGCCTGGAAGCGGGGACAGGGGCCGAGGGCACAGCAGGTCCGGGGACCAGGGCCTCACCCTTTCCATCTGTGCCGGATGCGTCCTGGAGATGCCGGATGGACCTGGAAGGGGACGGGGGACATGGATGGCTGTCAGCACTGCCTCCTAACACGTCTGCAGGGGGCGGGGGTCGGGGGCAGGATCCTCACCAGACCACAGGGAAGAGGATGGCACCACAGCAGATGAGATCCACCAGGAAGAGGATCTCCTTCCAGAGCATGTAGTCACTGGCACCCTCCTCGCGGGACTCGATGACAATGTAGGCCACGTTGGCCAGGACCTGCAGGGCGGGGAGAGGTGGGCAGGGGGCAGTGTGGGGTGGGTGGGTGGGTGTGCCCCAAGAGAGCATGTGTGCCCGCCCACCCCAGGGCCCCAGAGGCACCTGCAGTGGAATCACGATCCCAAAGATCTTCTTCTCCTTGTCTGACAGGACGTACTTGACAAAGGCCCAGCCAGAGCCGATCAAGGCGATGGTGATGAAGAGGAGGGCGCCCTTTAGCCTGGGAGGGTGTGTGTGTGGTGAGGGGGGTGGTGCCCAACCCCCCCAGCCCACCCCCTACCTGCCACGGAGAAGGGCACTCACAGGTGCGTGATGTAGTGCATGACAGCGAGGCCTTCAATGGGGTGGCCCTGGCTGTTGATGAAGTAGTAGTTGATCTGGAGGCGGATGGATGGACGGACAGTCAGACAGACAGATGGACATGGGGGTGGGCGGTGGTACAACTGGGAGGATGGCGGTGGTTTAGAAACACAGAGAGTCACTGTGGGCACGGGGGCCACAAAGGTGACAGAACCGACAGTTGTGATCGGGATGGTGGGTGGACCCAGAAACGGGCAGTCGTGGCTGTGACAAAGGAGGGGAAGTCACAGCTGGATGGACAGTGAGACCGTCCGTCAGAGGGGGAGTCGGAGCCAGGCCAGCAGGCAGTTAGACGTAAGGACAGATGATCACGGATGGACAGGACAGGCAGACAGCTGAGCTAGGTGGACAGCTGGGTGGCCACAGTGACAAAAATGGCTAGACATGGGGACATTTGGGATACGTGAACTCCCAAGCCCAGGGTCTGCAGAGATTGGGGTAAAGGGCTCCATGGGCTTCTTCCTGGACCCAGAGACCCCAGCCCACCCCCTTCTACTCCCAGCCCAAGGCTCTCACACTGCGGAAGAGAAGGGAGATGCTCTTGGTGAAAGCCAGGGCTGCCATAAGCCAGTGGATCTTGAAGACGTTGTACCTGGCAGGGGGGTCAGGGACAGAAGGGGGTGGGAGGCATTGGTCAGGGGCAGGGATGTGAGGGCTATGATGAGGGGAGGTGGAGGGACCACCCCAGGAGCCAGGGCATTACGTGTTCTTGCAGAGGACGGACACCCAGAAGATGCCAGCGGCCAAGAAGAAGGCAGACATGACCATGTACAGCTTGAAGAGGGGGATTTCCGCCGCTGACAGGAAGCCCTCGGGGTTCTTCTCCCGGATCATGACCTGGGGAGTGGGCAGGGGTGGGCGGCGGGGATTTCATGCCGGCTCTGGATGTGCAGAGCCGCGAGGGTGCGTCTCGCCCTCACACTCTCAAGCTCCCCTCTCCATGCCTCAGTCTTCCCGCCTCCCAGGTGGGCACACGGGCTTTCATGCCCCAGCACGGCCTCAGGGAGGATGTGGTGTGGCCAGCCCACCTCTGCTCACCGTGATGTCGAAGGGCTGCTCCCGGCCCGGCTTTGAGTTGTAGCAGTTGTGGAAGTTGAGGTTGTACTGGCCCTCCTCAGCCCGAGAGCCGATGACCACGTGGAACTGGGTGGTGGGGGCAGAGAGGGGAAGATGGGGGGAGGTGGGGGCTCAGCCTGGGGGTTTCCCACTCCAGGGGGAGGTGGGGCCTCGGGCGCTCACAGACACTCACACTGAAGTTGTAGGAATTGTTGAGATGCCCGAGACCCAGGACCAGTTCCTTGTCCTTCCCACTGAGGCCCTGAGGGGACAGAGGGCCAGCATCAGTTGGCCCCAGGGCCTGGGTCTCCCTATGCCACCCCTGGAAAAGGAACAGACCTTCCTCCCTCCTGCCCTGGCTTCCTCGAACCTGTTGGTCCCCCTGAGACACTGTGGGTTTTGACTTGGTCTTGTCAAGCACAGCGGTGGTCCCTATAGGGGGCAAATGAGTGAGTTCAGAGAGACATGGACAGAAGGACAGCAGAAAAACAGGGAGGCGGGGGCAGGCGCACAGCCCCAGCCATCCACAGTCGCTGCTCACACAGCCAGCCTGACTCACCGCTGTCCACTTTGGGGGTGACTGGTTCGGAGGGCACTTCGGGTAGGAGCCCAGGAGAGATGAACAGCTTCTTCTGCTCCCCATACTTCCGCACCTGTACCCTGGGGTGAGTGTGGGGGCCTCAAGGGTGAGGCCAGGAGGCTGAAGGCCTGGGTCATGCACATAACGTGTGCAGAGGGACTCAGTGGCCCCTGGGGCCCTCGGGATCTCCTTTCTGAGAACAGCCGGTGTCAGGCTGAGTCAGTGATCACACAGTTCCAGCCCCCCGCCACCAGCGATTAAGACGGCTACCCCCTCTGGGCCCTGCCTGCACCAGTGACTGTCACTTCCTGTGACACTGACTTACTCATTCCCACTTAAGCGCGCTACTTAGCATGAATACGTGTCTACAGACAGGCCACACAGTATTGCTAGACTCTGGTTCTTGGGCCTCAGTTTCCTCCTTTAGAATGGGGATGACATCCGTGTAAAGGGTCAATGAGTTACCATCTGTGAAAGTTTGCAGGACGCTCCCTGCCACCTAGGAAGCATGACAAGTAGGAACGGTGGCTATCAGTTCTCCCAACCAACACTCCTCCGTGTCTGATCTCTGCCCTGAGGCCCCGACTCTGTGTCTTCTCCCTGGGCTCCCCACTTCCCTCGCTCCCTCGTTCCCATAATCACAAGGCTGGAAGGCAAAATTAAAAAGCAAGTGGTTTTCCTCCTAAGTGCGTGAGGTTCTTTTCAGCAGGCTTCTCATTCTACCTGGTAGCTTATGTGAGTATCAGACCCGGGAAAAGACGAATGACGGAGTCTCTGGTCCATCAGCTTACCGCAGATCCTTGGTGTTGATGAGGAAGAGAACTAGGAGGTTGCTGCTGTTTTTCTGGAGAGGACAGTCATGGGGGTTCCGGGTCTGGGGAGTGGGCAGGAGGGTGTCTTGGTTACTGCCTCCCACTAGTCCGGCCTCACCCTGCCCCCTCCCCATCTACCTTGCAAGGGAGGGTCACTTCTTGCTCCCCTCCCTGCGAAAGAAGGGGGGAGTGTCATCCTCCCTCCTCCCCCACTCCTCCTCCACTCACTGAGTAGGGTCGAATGCTTCCAGATCGAACCCGAGTCAGACTGAACCCCACCTGCCAGATGGAAAGAAAAGGAGAAGAAATGAGGGAATGCACAGGGACCTCGCCAAACCACCTCTTTTCATAGCAAGAGAAACTTGAGCTCGGATTGACCGAACCCGTCTTGTGTGCTAGGTCCCACATTCACTCATGGAATTCCAACAACCTGTCCTGACCCTGGGCCCTCATACTCTTCTTTTAATTCCTAACTGGTGCCACTCAGCTTCAATGTCACTTCCCTGGGAATCCGGGTTGGGGGTGGGGGGAGGTCTCGGGCATCTCTTGCTGGTGTGCTGGACCCTGCCCACCCTGTTTTCACACAATTAAAATGTTGATGTAATAAACAAACAAACAGATAAAATGTTGATGGCTTTCCTGCCTGCAGCTGTGGAATCCAGCACACGTGGACTTGCTTACATCCGGGCACTGTGACTTTGAGCAAGCCACATACCTCTAGGCGTAACGTTTTCACAGCATCCCTGAGAGGCTGCTGCGAGAGAACAGACCCATGGAAACTGCTCTGCCCGGTACCTGGTACTCAGCGGCATTTAAAAAATGCTAGCTACTCATTCTGACTGCAGGAGCTGGGGCTATCTTGGGCTTTGGTGTGCCCTCCCTCCACCAACCGCAGCTCACGGCCCAGCACATACTGCCCGAGATTTTATTATTCCCACGTTACAGATGGGGGAACGGAGGTTCCGAGAGACCATTGCCCTTGTCCAAGAGCCCACGGATGAGAGGCGGAGCTACGAACTGGGGGCTGCAGGTGGGGGTGGGAAACGTGCGCCCCTCGCCCTCCCCCAGCAAACTCCTCAAAGCCCCTCACCAGCGGGTCCTTCTCTTCTGTCTCCTGGAGGCCCAGCCGCAAGAGGCTCAGGTCCACCTCCAGGGAGCCATTGGCGTAGAAGCCGAAGCTGTTCAGCGGGATGTCTGCTCGCTTCTCCCCCTGCCGGACACCAAGGAGGCACAGGCCGCTCAGACTTCTTCCCACCAACCCAGCCCCACGGCTGTGGCGCGAGATAGGAACAGGGTAGCCCCAGCTCCTCCAGCCACTGTTCCGAGCCCAGGAAGAGAAAGCCTGGGGCACCTGGAGGTCTCCGTACTGGTGGGAGCACCCCCCCACCCCCCCACGAGAGCAAGGTTATTCATCTTGGGGTTAGGAGCCCCGACAGTTCGTAGATTCCAAGAACCTAGTGAGTGCCCGGAGGAACCCATTCCAGAAATCCCAGCGCCCCCAGAGCGATCCCAAGAATTTAGGAGACTATCGGGGGCGAGGGGTTGTCCCAGGAGGTGAAGTCCCACCCCTAGTGGGCCAGGCACAACCCGAGTGTGGTCGGCCAGGCAACTCCACGCAAGGACTGAGGGGGACTCCTCGGACGAGACCACTCGGGGCCGGGAAGCGGGGGGGCGGCGGGCCGCTTCATCTCGCGTAAGCAGAGGGGGAGGTAGGACGAGACCACTCCAAACCAGGGGCTTCTTAGGAGCAAAACTGCGCCCCCCGCCCCAGTCCGCCGCGCGGCGGGACTCACCGTCAGCGCCAGCCGGTGGATGCGCCCAGAGCAGCCGCCCAAGAGCAAGAGCAGGAGTAGCGGCTGCCTCCACTCCGCGGGGCTCCGGCGGGCGAGCCCCCTCCTCTCGCTCACTGCCATCTCTGGAGTCGCCACCTCCCCTGACACCGCCTCTGGCGCACCCACCCTCCAAAGGGTGAGCCAATCGCCGCACGATGGGGGCCGACCCTCTAAATGTCAGGCCTTCCCAGCCAGTCAGCGACCGTTTCCTCGAAAATCTGCACCACCCCCCCGTACGACACCAAATGGACATCACCAGCTCCGAATAGGCTGCTGTTACCGCTTAATCCCGCCTCCGCCCTCACCAATCACTAGAAAGGTTGTGCTGATGTAATTTGACAAACAGTCCATCTAACCAATTCTAATGTATCTGATATCTCGCCCTTGAAGCGGAATTCCTTCACCCACAGATCCTTCACCTACGCCCAACTGAAGATCGGCCCAGGACTACATTACCCAGAATGCAGTGAGACCAGAGAGCGCTACAGGGCATTCAATAAACTACATTTCCCAATATCCCCAAGGATGGACTTCCTCTTCTCACTCTGGGGATGTGGCTCGCAGCCAGAGCCCAGGCTTTTGGTAAACACGCACGTCTGCCGAGGCCTGTCCGGTTCTAATCTTCCTGATCCACGAAAGGCCGAAACCTAGCCCCAGGCTAAACCCTGACCCCAGGATGACCTATGACCTCGGGCTGAATTCCAGCTTTAGGCGGAGCCTCTATCCTAGAGTGTGGCAAGGGAGTAGCCCATCCATAGATCCCACGCCGGACTTGTTGATTGGCTGAACACCAACCCCAGGCTGAGTCCCTACCTGCCGCTGAGTCCGGACGTCGAACTGAAAACCAGACTTCCCCACTCCCTTCTGACCCTCGACCTACACCGAGCCTGGGCCTTAGTCTCTGGTTGAGCCCCCAACCTGGACTGCGCCGTGACCCCAGACGAGGCCTGACCTCTGTACCCTAGTTTGAGTCCCAGACCCCCTAGTGAGTTGCTGACCCCTCCGCTAAACTGACCCCAGTATGAGATCCCATCCCAAATGCGGTGTCGACCTGGAACGAATCCCAATTCCAGTTTGAGTTTGAGACTCTAATACCAGGCTAAGCCACTGAGATCAGAACCCATGCTGAGCCCCTGACACGCCTGGTCCCCCAAATCCTGGAGCACAGCAACTTGAGGTTTTCTAGCCCAGAAGCCACCAGCAGGTGGGGCCAGGTCCCAACAAAGCCATCTGTCCCAGTGTGGGTGTCCCACTGTGGGCTCCTGGGGCTAGCCTCCTGGGCTCCCCGGTGTGGGTACTGGTATGGGTGCTGGGAGCCTGGAGGCTTAGAGTCTCACTTGTGCCTGGGGGCGTCTGTCACCTCCGTAAACACTAAGGACCAAAGGCAGGAGAAGAGAGGATGAGGTGGGCGCTGCAGGGCTCTCTCCCCTTTCATCTCAGTGCTTTAAAGAGATTAATGAGGTGTGAACAGACTTTTATGAGCGAGGTGACAGACTTCCAAGCCCCAGGGCCCGAGTGTCTGGAGGGAGAGGTGGAGTCGGAACCGGGGTCTGTACAGTGAAACCTGATTGGATCTAAATGGATGCGACTGGAAAATGGGCAGGTGGAAGCGCGAACTGGATGAGGGCCCAGGAAAGACCTGGGCCCGGTGCCCCAAGGACGGTCTGTCCTCAGTTTCCCGGCGCAGACTTCGGGAGGTGGGGGAAGGCAGGATGCGGCGGGGGTGCTAATGGACCAGGCCTTGGCAGAGGCGCGTTCTGGGCAGGATCGAAGTCCTCCCATCCGCCCTGTGGCCGGAGGGAACCAGACCATTAGTAGGCCCAGCAGAGATGTCTGGAGCCGGGCCGGCCCGCAAGAGCAGGGTGACCTCAGGTTCTTCCAGCGATGGGGTGGGGGAAGGACCTCTCAGGTTGGGGTTTTAATGTCTTGTCCCTTTAAGGAATGGTTGAAGGAAAAGAGAAAAGTAAGAACAGTCCCTGGCGGGGTAGGGTTGGGGAAGAGGGAGGGGGAAGAGGGGCCCGGGGGATTTGGAAAATGGGTGGGGGTCCTTTAAGGCACGGGTCCAGTGGCGGCTGGTGGCAACTTGCCTTTAAGAGGGGGCGGGGCGTCCGTTGGGTCCCGCCTCTTCGGGGGTCCCGCCTTTAGGGCGCTGTTCTGGGCCTCCTGGCAGATGGGGGTGTGGCAGGGCCTGCGGGGGCGGGTCCGAGCTTGGAGTGGGCGGGTCCGGGCGGGCGGGGCCGGGCGCGCCGCTCCAAGCTGAGTCTCCCGGCGGCGGGCGGCGGGGACCGGGCGCGGCGGCGGCGGCGGCGGGTTCGGCGGGAGCAGCATGGATTGGGGCACCGAGCTGTGGGTGAGTCCGATCGGCCCGGCTCCAAGTTCCTCCCTTTCTGGAGTCCAAACCCCCTCCTCCTTTGCTTCTGCAAGACCTTAGTGGGGGCTCGGCGCTTTCCCCTTCAGAGACCCCTGGGGTCCCCGCTTTTCGCCTTTTCTCGGAGTTTCCCAGGGCGTTTCAGGACGTCCAGGATGAAGGGCGACCTTGCAGGAGCGGACTAGAGAAACTGAGCGCGGGATTCAGAGTGAGGAGGGCAGAAGTCCTGGGACCAGGCCGGGGCGCCCGGGCGAGGTCACCTATTTTGAGCACCCTGGCTGGGCGGCCGGCTTATCTTACTGCCCCTGGGTCCCTGCCCGCCGCCCGCCTGTCCGGCTTGGGCGGGGGAGGGGACCCCCTGGCCACTTTCAACCCCACGTGGGACCTAGAAGTTCTGACCGCCCTTTCGGCGCCTCCGATCAAAACCTAGGGGCTTGGGACGCTCTGGGGGGGAGGGGGCCGCGAGGCTTAGCCTCGCGGCCCCCTCCCCCCATCCCGCCCCAGGCGCTGGGAGGGGCCGCCCCTAGTTAGCCTCTAACCTCTGCTCTGGAAGCCCCAGGAATTTCCCCTTATCCTAGTCGGGACCTCTGACCCCTCCTTTTTATGGGGGCGGTGGCATCACTGGGTTTCTGGGTGCAGCGGGGTAACTAGCTTCCTTCCCCCACAACTCTGAAATTTCTTTTGGAATTGCAGTGGAGTCAGTGGGGGAAACCGAATCACATATTGGGGGGGCCCCGGGAAGCATGGCGACCCGGGTAACATGGTGCCTGTCTGCTGGACGTTCTGGGGCCCCCCAAACTGCGGTGAACCCTGCCCCTCTGGTCCTGACTCACGCCGGGCCGGCCGGATTTTCCGGAATCTTGGGAGGGGGGATTAGGGGAGCCGGGGCTGGGGGGAGTGGCTCAGCCCCATTCCACACCCCTCTTGGAGGTCTGGAGACGGGGACCCTGTAGTCCGGCTGGGGCCCCGCCCCTGTTCCCTGGCCCTTCCCGGGAAGGGGAGGGGGTTCCCGCGGGTTTCCTGCCTCCCCCTGGCGCCGCGCGGGGGCGGGCCCGGGAAGCCACACCTTCTCCTAGCTCGGAGCCTTGAGGCTTCTCTGGCGCCTGGTCCTCCGGCGGTGGGGTCCCAATGTGGTGATCTCGAATCCTCCACCCGCTTCCAGGATCAGTTTGAGGTGCTCGAGCGGCACACGCAGTGGGGGCTGGACCTGTTGGACAGATATGTAAAGTTCGTGAAAGAACGGACCGAGGTGGAGCAGGCTTACGCAAAGCAGCTGAGGTGAGACCCTAGGGTGGACCCGCCTGGGCCTGGGGGAAGCTGTTGGAGCGCCGGGGGCTCAGGCTTTCTGCCTCTCTCCGTTAGGAGCCTGGTGAAGAAATACCTGCCCAAGAGACCCGCCAAAGATGACCCAGAATCCAAGTAAGGATGGAGAGGGATGGCCAGGCTAGATTTGGGGGGCCCCAGGGGTGTTGGTCTCACTTCCTGGCCCTCTTGTTCAGGTCTCACCCGATCCCGATCACCTGTGCCAGAATCTTAAGTCCACTGTTTTCCAACCCCACGACTTTGGGCAATTGACTTGAGTTTTGCTTTTGCCTCACCTATTAAGTGAGTGAGGTTCCAGCAGTTACTAACCCAGTGCCTCTGGGTAATTGACCTGCATTTTATGCCTGTTTTCCTCACCTGTGAAACAGGATGATGACGATGATGATGATGGCCTTGTAGGGCTCACGGGATCATTAACTGAGATAGTGCGTAGTTCCATAATCCAAAAAGCTCTAGAAGTCAGAAGATTGTTTTGGTACTCTGTTAGGCAGCAGCTTCTGACGTCACTTAATGGTTGTCACGTCCTTGGTTTTTATCCCACTTCGTGTGACTAGTAATACCTCTCACTGCAAAAAATATTTGTAGTGTTTGGTTACAGGATGCTGCCCCTGATCCCATTGGGGTGACGCATAAAAGATGGCATAAGCATTATATTCCCTTTCTAAACCTGAAAAATTCTGAGTTCCGAAACGCATCCCAGTTAAGGGCTTGGGATAAGGGATATGGACCAGAATTTATGGTTGCTTCCAGGAGGAATGTATTGGGGCTTTCCCTTTCCCATGATGGAGGTGGTTCCTAGAGCATCTGGGTCCTGAGGGATGGGGGTGGGTGCCTGACCCCGTCTCGCTGCCCCCACTCATCTCGCCCCAGGTTCAGCCAGCAGCAGTCCTTCGTGCAAATTCTCCAGGAGGTGAATGACTTTGCGGGCCAGCGGGAGCTGGTGGCTGAGAACCTTAGCGTCCGTGTGTGTCTCGAGCTGGCCAAGTACTCACAGGAGATGAAACAGGAGAGAAAGATGGTGAGTGGTTCCCTCTCTGGGTCTTCCAAGGACCGCTACCTCAGCTCAGGGGAGCCTAACCATTTCTGTTTGCACAGCACTTTCAGGAGGGCCGCCGGGCTCAGCAGCAGCTGGAGAGTGGCTTCAAACAGCTGGAGAATGTGAGTTTGCGGCCACGGAGAGGGTAACTGGCCCCTGGATCTCCCTGTGTTGTCTGGCCCGGAGCCCTTCTCCCTCTCTCCCATGGGTTTCCAGCTTGCCCGTTGCACTCCCCCTCCCCCATTTGCTAGTGATGTTCTCCCGTCCCTAACCCCGGTCTCTGAAACCTTGCTTTCTCACCTACTCTCTCCTTCTGGTTGTGTCCCCGGCAGAGCAAGCGGAAGTTTGAGCGGGACTGCCGGGAGGCTGAAAAGGCAGCCCAGACCGCTGAGC